CCGAAAGCCGCCTCGGTGAGGGCCAAGATCGAGAGAGTCATCCAGATGAATACTGGCCTCGCCAGATTGACTCAAATCGAGAAGGCGCTTCGAGGGGAGCAAGTTGACGACGGAATTTCTGAGCTGTCTGTTGCAGATCTGTCGCCTCATAAATACGCTCCCTTGGTGAGCGTTGATGTTGAGCGATCCTTTTCTCGATACAAGGAGATTCTCTCGGACCGCCGTCATTCGCTGACATTAGAAAATTTGAAGTATCATTTAATACCGATGTGCAATCTCACGAACGATGAATCATGATTTTGTCTCAAATAAAGTTCTGAGCGTTCCGCGCCACCACAAATCATAAAACTGCTGGCATTCTTCTACTTCTCCTTCTTCCACGCCCACTTCTCAATTTTAGGAGCGTGTTCCTTCTCGATATATTCTTCGATCTCTCCCTTCTCAATCCGTATTTCGCCTATCTCAAGCACCTTCTCCGCCTATTTCGCCTATCTCAAGCACTCTCTCCGCCTATTTCGCCAGTTTCGCCTATCTTCGTCGAATCGAGGTGCTTATTTTGCCTATTTTTGAATGCCTGACTTGCATACTCTTGGGTGCTTATATCGCCGATTCTATTCCGCCTAACTTCCAGGCACTAGATCATCCCCGGTGGACGACCGGTGGCATTCCTACTTCGTCGCACTTTCTGCAGCGGTGAGCTCAGAAAGCTTCCCGCATCATAAGCGTCCGTAGCGTCAGAAGCAATTCAACGAATTCAAAATCGCTTTCTGGTGGCTGGTAAGTCGCGAACCGAGAAAAGTGTTCTTTCTACTATGCGAGGACTTCCGGAGTCGATCAACGACAGGGCCGATGAAAGGAGGGGCATCGCCAATAAGCCGTAGTTCGAGTTTACTCGCTCATACTTCCTCGTAGGTTTCAAGCGAAAGCGATTACCGACTTTCTTTTTTGCGCCTCGAGCTTCTTCTGTAAGCATAAGGACAGGAGCCACGGGTAGAGATGCCTGATGAGCTGCTTCGTCTCAGAGCGAACCCTTGGAATTTGTTGGTATCGATTTCGCTCTTCACCGAGAGTGTCTCCTCGGTGAATCTGAAACCGATTATCAGACTTTCGTGGATTCCGGTGATTCTTGTCGTCGTTCCCGAGCTGTCGAAGAATATCCTAGCCGCATGCCCATCATTCGTGTTGCCTGATCCTAGCCTTGTTTGGCCTTCGACCAGGAGACCAGGTACGGATTCGTCCCGGAGAGCCGTCTAGATGTCTCTCGACCTATTCAAGTCGAACAGCTTTTTGAGCTGTTGTGACTGTTTCGGCCGGAAGCTCCGTGTTGTCGGATAGAATTAAAAAAATTACAAGCTCCGGATCAAAGCGTTAAACGTGTGCAGTTCAGAGCTGTAATTCCCTCTCACATCTGGAGCGAAAAGAGTGACGTCCGGTGACTGTTTCGTTGTAGCACTGAGGATGAAACAAACCCTTGTAGAGTTGACGCCTGTCAGGTTGTGACGAGATACCCGTCGAAGATTGTCCAGACTAATCGTTGCTGCACGAGTGGTTCACTACAATTGATAAGTAAGTTCATCTGAGTGAGATTTGACTGCGAAATTCTCTTCTATGATGATCTTACGTATTTCATCGTAGAACGCAAACTAGTGGGCGACAGAGACGTACCTTTCCTCATAGTGGAGTCTCATGCCGCTGGGCACTGTGATCGGTCCCCGTGACGTGAAGCTCTATGAGAACGAACGAGAATATGAATGAGCTCCTCCTGTTATGAAGAGGATCATTGGACTTCACTTAGTCATAACTAATAAGTGTGACCCCCACGGCCATCGCTAGCCCACTGGGACAGGAGGATGAAGTTGGTCAACGGAATTGTGTGAAGAGATCGACGGATTGATTCCTCAATCTGTCGGCTGAGATGGGTTGTGAATTCTTCGCAGTCGACCAGGACCCCTCGCTTCCAGCCCTCTAAGCCTAGAACGTAGTCGGTAAGATCATCCGACCCCGCATTCTTCGAGGTATCGGAGCATTGCTTGGCGAACTCTTTGCGGTCAGCAAAGGGATCTGTGATATTCGCAATGGACAGATCGCCTCGCTCTCTTTCGCTGCTTTCCACGAAATCACGTCACAGTACCGATTAACGACTCACGGGCGATGATTCAGCACGGGGCTCGCTAGCTCCCAGACAGAGTTCAGTAGACGACTCTGGAACCGTCGTCAGTAGCCAGTGCCAATGGAATCGGGAGCCCGCCTTCATATGGTCGGTTTGATGTATCATGCCCTCAAGTACGAAGGAAAGCTCATCGCGAACGGTTTTCACTCATTCTCGCCAGCTCCCGTTTAAATTGTAATCTAGGATGTCCAATCAATCGCGCTTCATTGGAAAAGGCCGCGAATCTTCCTGAGCGCTTCACTTTAAAAAGGGGCGACGTGTCCGAGAGAAGTTAGCCGCGACGTGTCCGGGAGAAGTTCGCCGCGATTCCGAAAGCGGTCTTTCGCTCTCGCTATTCGTGCGGGACGGATCCGGATCTCGAAATCCGACGACAGATGTCGGTAATCGGAGGAGCCTCCCCGATGGGCAACTCTGGATTACGCTCCTTGAATGGGGAATATATACCGGCAGGATAATTCCAGTGCGGCATAAGAGTCTCGTGCCGAGCGATATTTTGCCCAAGTAAAGCTCTTCCGGTGGTTTCCCGGGAAACAAGGCCCTTAGCGCAAGCAAAGCGCGGGAAGCGGTTATCAGCTGATGGAAACTGAGTCTTTGAAATCGACTCACAAAAAAACGGACTTGGTACTTCTGGGTGTCGTGTCCAGATGCCGCTTTGAAGGTTCGCATGCTTTCAAGGAAATGAGAGAGCAATCCCTGGCTCGCAACAAATAGCAACGCTTTCTTCCTAGCCCTATACGCATCCGTACCCAATATCTACTTCTAGTGTAAGCTCCACAACGTGGCAGGAGTAGCGATTAATTGAGAAGTGGAAAACGCATAACATTCTCCCGGGCTCCCGAAAAGATGGCTGGAAAGAGGCCCTGCGAGGGAATTCCGCTGGAGCGGAATATCTATCTCTCCAAGGAAGATACTCAAGAGTCTCTCGAAGGATTTCCGAAACCATCAAAGGGCGCACGTGCTCTGATAGGATTTAAGCCCCGCTGAGCCTCCGACCAGGGTTATCCGATTCAGATAATAAGAGGTGCTCCTAGGAACGGAACTTTTCTGCCTTCTGCCGCGGTGTTTCGACCCATCATCGGATTTTTTCCCCAGTTGTTCTTATAAGCATCGTGCTTGCCGGCGGACTTTCCTAACTTATCATGTCCGGTCCCCGGAGCATCAAAGAATTCGTGTCTTCCTCATGTCGAGCGAGCCCGCCACGATAATCACAATGCTGGTGATTTTTTTTTGAAAACAGATGAATCGATTCCTTACTCTATCGAGCTGATTGCCGCCTCTGCTGATAAAGTTCGGAAGCCGAGTGCTCATGATGAGGGCTGAAGATTTTTCGCGGACCGCCGTTTCTCCGCGAATTTTCGCGGAAGTTTCCGGCTACTCCTCTTAAAGTTTCCATGGAGACCACGAATTACCGCGGGAAATTTTCATCCCTACTCATGATCCATAAGGAATGTCGCTAAGAGGCATCCCCCGGTCAGCTGCATCCTGGAGCCAGACTCTGTACGGTGGCGGGAGCCCTCGCACGACAGCTGCTGGAAGCGCCTCCTGGGTTCGGTCGTGAAGTCTTGGCCTGAGAAGAGGTGATATAAGCCACGATATCGACAGCTGGCAGAGGTATCTCATGGGGAGCGTTGCGTAAGATTAGACGAGGAGGGTTTTTCTCCAGATGGAACGATTCTCTCCGAAACTGGGGGATGAGGTGCTGGAGAGGGATTCGCAGCGTAATTTCGCGGAAAATCTTCGTGTACCTTAATCAGCCACATCAACTCTCCTTAGTCCCATCGGCGCTCCCAACGGCGCTGTTGTCATGTTTTCCTCCGGCGTCGATGAGAGAGAGAGAGAGGGTATGCGATCGATTCTTATTGAGGATCATCATTGGGAGCTGAAAGCGCGAGGGTCCGATTCTGCAAGAGAAAACCTCAGAAAGCCGAACCTTCGAGCGTCTGAGGCATGGGGACCTCAGACTTGAGCGGGATTTTACCGGGGTGAACAAACTAAACCTACTGATGCGAATTCGATGCTACTCATGTAAAACGCCTCGGCCTCAGTGGTGGCGTCAGCAAACGGCAGTCAAGAGAAAAATCTGGTGATTGAGGTTGCTCGACACACAACCTCTCGTCTCAGGATTCCACAATTGAATTTGGAGGTCGCGGTCGGCCAGGCGCCTTGGTCGAGGAACGGGTCTTTGCAATAGTTGGAGCCGCCAGACTTCACATATCATGAGGAATCCGCTCACGGAGGGCTTTCGGCACCGTTGACATTGTGGGAGACGTATCCGATGCCTTTTCCACCAACAATAAGCTTCGGTTCTAAAGGGGGACATGCGAGTCCGGATTGGCAGTGGGGCGGACGCGCACTAAATATCGCGAGTCCTAATAAAGGTCCTGCGTTCCTATCGGTTCGGAGCTCCGAGCCAACCGATCACGATGGGAGACGGATGCGGCTGCTTTGACCCGGTCGTCGACGTACTTGTCGCTGGAGAAGTCGCGGTGGTGTCTGTCTGGTCAGCGCTCTAAGTCTTCCGAGTCTTGGAAGTCTAAACTTGGCGAATTTGCATGATCCAATTTGGCGCTGAGCCGGGTGATCGACGTCTCTCTATATCCTTCGAGTTGGTTGTTGAATTCCGCCACGCGATGTCTTCCGCGGCAGCTAGAGGGGGATTCTCTGCTTCCGAGGGATTCTCTCAATCAGGCGCCTAAGGGAGAGACTTCATCGTGAAAAAAGAGGTGCGAGCGCTCCACACAGCTACATGCTCTTCGAACAAACGTTGCAGCCCAATGAGCTGAAATAACAATTAGCAATCTTTCACTAGAGTCCCAGTCCGGCGAGAGATTTGCGAGCCCAGTCTTCTCGTATCAAGACAAACCGAAGGCTCCGACCATCTGCTATTTGGGTGTAAAAGACTATTGGTACCGTGCTTCGTGGTCCGGCCAGCCCGAGAGGGAAATATCCCATTTTCGGAAGCCTCGACACCAGCTGGTTCGATAGACAATGCCTGAGAATCCCGTCACATCGAACGCGAGAATTTCGGAAAAGATACTTGTCCCGGCTCCGTATGTTTCCACTCTTCGGTGACGCTGCGCCCCCGAGCACTGCCGTTTTGGTGTTCCATCTGCGTTGAACGATTTCTTTACTCGGAGAAGGCTAAGGGGTGGATTGTGCCATGTTCGGAAATTTCGACGTTGTGCGCACGTCTGCTTCGGCAATCGCGAACAGCCCTCACCGAGAAATTTTATGCGACAAAATCGTGGAGCATGCTCTTTCGCAGCTCCAGGAGACGCAATATCCCCGATCATATGTCTTACTCCGGGGTTCCTGAAACATTATATGTGAAGGACACCACCGAAGTTACTAGGACTCGACGGTTTCCGCTGTTGTAGAAATGAGTCAGTGGAGGTCTGCTCTTTTGCAGATGAAGGAGCTTGACGAAGGGTCTGCTGCTCGGTCATGAGGTTTTGAATCTCTTCCGTCGGAAATTAGTTCGCATCGAGCTCGGTGTGAGGCCTCGGGTGTTCCTTCCACTTCTTCGGAGCTGCTGCAGTCGATCTGACGCGAAGCCTGATTGTAGCCTCCTTTTTCCGCTTCCATCACACAATCGTCGCAGAGCCAGTCTCCCGGCAGCCGTTGCCCCTGCCGCGGGGCGGCTCCCGACTCGTCTATTCATTGGAGCAATGAGCAGCCAGTGAAGGGGAAGATGAGATTCACTTTAATAATTTTTAGGTTGGCGAGGAGCGTGAAGGCGCCGCGAGGGCTTACTTTTAGTCACCCCGGCTGGGTTGATACTGCAGAATGATAACGCCCACTCCTCCGTGTTCCTCCGGGGGCGGGCTCGGGTGTGAGCTATCAATGGAGACGAGAGAGTGTTTTTAATATCATTAAAAATCCGAACGCCACACAATGGGAGAATGAAACGAGTACAAGATAAAACAAAGAGTAATCTCCGCTGTCAGAACAAGAACAAGGAGACTCGAATTGGACAGGACAACTTCATCGGAGAGATCCCTCTCACTTTCCGTCGCTTTTCAGCGATCAATGTCCTGTCCGCATGCCGCTGAGCATCCAATGACATGTCATCACACAGACGCTCGGATTTCGGAGACACCGAATTCGATAGAAGGAACACATACGTCGGTTCGTCCATTCCGGCTGATGGTTCGGATATGAACCGTACTAGATACGTTCCATTAGACGCTTTTCGTGTGATGAATCGCGCAGAGTTTCTGCTAGTTCCGGGACTTTTTCTCGATACTTCGCGAGCCGATCACGGATGGCCTGACTTGATCATACGAGAATCCCTCAAAGCGCAATCCTAGGAGCCGCAGCAGTGCCAGGATCCCGTCGGGTTTTACGCGGAGTTCCTTCAACGATTCCCTGATCTATCCTAAGATTCTTGCATGTTCTCACTCGTATACGAACATCTTACTGCGCCGCGGGCGACACTTCCCCACTCACCGCACTGAACAAAGAGCGCCGATAGCGAGGGCGTGCTCTTCCAGCTTCGTCGATGACTTATCGTAGAGTTCCCAAGCCTTCCTCATCATTCCCCTGATAAGCGAGTCTAGAAGCCCGGTTAGTCCAGTTCGCTCCCTGGTCCGGTGTGAGGTCGACTCTCGCGATGGAATTTCCCGGGATCGATCGTTCCTAAAGAACAAACGCCGCTGGGGGAGGAGTGGTTCCGGAAGAAAACCTCTTCTCTCCTAGGAAACCTCCATGAGATATTGGTTCTCCTCATTTCCTCCACTCTTCATCTCCGAGAAGTTCCGCACAAAGCCATACTCAATGTGTGATTCCTATTCTGGTGGTGGCCGCTCCGGGCCTCCTGCGAATTTCTACTATGGTCACGAGTCTTCACGAAAGATTCGCCCTCGGAAAGGTACCTGATTATACCTGCTGACCATCCTCGATCGGGGGAGGGCGTGGGGATTCCTTAATTGATTCCGAGTTCCGACCCTGGGGATACGTTCCGCGAATTATCTGTCAGACGTCCTGTCCGGAAAGCTCCTGCTGATGCGTCGCGATGAGGTCATTCGAGAGTGGATATCTTGATTGCCACCGTTCACAGTCATGCGTATGAGGAACGAATGGGGCGAATAGCTCCCCTATTGCACGCATGGGGGGGGGGTTCCTCCCAAAATGGAGCCTATGAGGGTTAGATCATCCTCATACGCGAGAATTCGAGTTACGTATTGCTCCGGTATCATGGCAGAATCCTCGGAAGCTGATCGGCCTCAGCTTCCGAACCCGCATTCAAGTTCTATACTTTGGATGTAGACCTTTTGATCCTTGAGGCTGGGTTCCCGTGAGCTTCTTTAGTCTATTCTCTCATTTCTGCCGAGCCATTCGGCATAGGTTACAGTCATGCGCGCGGTCGGTCGGGCATCCGACGACCGCGTAATTAGGCTGGAATATAGCCACGCATGCCTCTTGAGCAGATTCCTCGGAGCGTGAACTCATTTCCTCGACGCTCCTAGTAAGGTTCTCTCATAAATTTGCCTACTTGTAATTTGTGCCCGGTCCCTGAGTATCATTTCCAGAATTATGGTCACGATTATGGACTCAAATGTGCAGGAAGTGGTGCGATCTCGGACCTTGGATTACCTATTAAGAATCATAATTGCGAAGACAGTCGCAAATGAGCGAGGAAGTAATTCAGACTGCGAAAGCGGTGTGCTCGACAGTCTCAACCGCCTTTCTGAGTTGGCTCTAAATTCTGTGCTCTTTCAAAGGGATGGCATCGCTTCCAACACTCCTCAACAACATGAAACTCAGTGAGTGATCATTCCAGATGCTCATGAGCTCGTGAGCTAATGCGCTGTTTCGGAGTCCACCGGGATCCGCGGCTCACCAACAATCATGCTCGATCACCCTGGAATCCTTTATTTCAGTTTATGTCCTCTTCCTGATTGCGACCGCCATGGTCATGGTCCAGGGAGCCTTTTTGGACACCGGATCCGAAATCAGCGGTCGTCAGGACCAGGCTCGACCAAATCGCGGATACTCAATACCAGGGGACTTTCATGGCCCGGGCCTCGTGGACTTCATCATGAATCTTCTGTTAGGACGGGATCTCGACTACGCGCCGACAGACCCACCAATAGAGTATGAATAGTGAAACTTGGCTATGTTTCGGGACGCACACCGTTTGCATCATATACCCGAGCGGGGACTTATTTCGAAGCTTTAATCAGCACACTAAAAGCTTTTCCTTGAAATAAAACATCTCAACAGAAGTTTGAGCATCCCCCTCCCGATCCCGATCCGTTAGAGGTTTTCGCATTCGAAGGGGTACGATTTCGATTTCGCTCCGCGTGTCGATCGATGCAGAGTTGTAGAGCACTCCCCCCCGTTTTGACGGCTCTACTGAACCGAATCCCGTGAACCATCCCGAACTGAGGATCGAGACTGATTCCTCGCTCTCCCGGAGATTCGTCGGCATGCGCCCCTTTGTTCCGATAGCATTTATCCAGCACATCCGTTGAATTTCATCGGGTTCAACCTGATTCAGTGGTCTTTCCAACCGAGAGCTCTGTTGAGAGGTGTTCGAAACAGACCCGAGGTGAAACTTTCAAAAAGTCTTCCGCACTCCGTCGGGGATCATCGCCCGAGGACATCAGAGTGACGCACTCAATCGAACGATGATGTCCCCTGATCGGGATTTTAGTTCGGCATCCCGGTACCAGTAGCGTAAGAAGTTGAGAGCGGGTGGCGTTGCGGCCCGGGTGGCACGTTCTCTGGCCTCTCGGGGGCAGCATCCTAAGGTTTCGCTTCAGGAATAAAATTCCCGAAAGGAAAAGCGGCGAGGAGGGGCATATTCCTCGACTTCGCTCGAAAAACAGAGAATTCCGAATGACCGCTTCGCTCCGAGAATTCGTGCCGACTCGCTAGTACTGTGTCCGTATCGACTCGAAGGGTGTCGGGCCTCAAGCGATTAAATCAGACGATTCTCTTCCGGAGAGCTTCGCCGGAAGGATAGAAAGGTCGAGAAAGAGTCGAGATGTTGTGTCAAGCTGCTTTCCCATCATGTTCCCCCTGACGCTCATTGAGAGCGCTTGCCACCACGGCTCCAATGCTGGTCAATCAGGACTCCCGGCTGGGTTCCGGCAGCCCTCGTAGAGCTGATGTTCTGCTTTGGCTGACCCATCCGGAATTAACATCTTGAGCTAGTTATTCAAGCGAGAGTTCGAGAGGCGAGACTTCAACTCGTCATGATTCATCCAAGATGACGATGATACACACGGAGCGAAATCCACCCTCTGAACTCGACCTCTAATGGCTGACTTCGACCATCTCTCGGTCTCGCGTCAGGGACTCGCCGTCCGCTTTTCCGATGAGCTCGCAATCTCATGATAGGTCTCTCGCGGAGAATCGCCGTGTTTCGAAAGCGCGGAATCCGAAAGAGATGAAGAGTCTCTTTCTATGGTCACAAATTACCTACATTCGGACTCGATCAGTGAGTTTCTCCCCGGACACGGATACCGCCTGTAAAGAGGGTCCGCTGACGCTGCACTGATTCATTATTCCTCCGGGCTCGAAAAATGTGACTCTCTCGGGAGGTCGAGAGGGTACCAGCGAGCAGGTTCTGCCGAGAAATCAATGAGCATCGGGAAGAGTCCTAGCCAACATCTAATTCACTCCCGGAATGCGCTCGGAGGGCTATGTTAGGGATATCGGGGAGTGAAAACTACTCGATCCGTGCGACAGACAGGTTCGCATCAGCTCGGGTAGAGTATCATGTGAGAGTCAGCGGAATATGCGGCGCGTCCGAGACATACTTTCCGCGCCTTGGAGTCTGAGGACTAGTTATCTTCTACAGGTCCTACCTGCCGTTGAGTTTTCACCATCGCGGCGACGACCGTAGACATGGGGCTCAACAGGATCCCGGTCCAGGGCTTGGAGATTGTGAATCTGAGCTGACTGAGTATGCTGAAGTGTATCCTCGAGGAACAATGAGGGCCCGAGAACGATCAATAATCAGCTTTGTGGGGAAGGATCTCCCTCCTCATGTCTTTCGTTCCGACATGCGCGCTCAGATGTAGGTATTTGTTTCTACTTTTACTTTCCGCGTGGCGTAGCATAGTTGGGCCACATGGAGCTCGATCTGTGTTCCATCGGAATCGCTTCGGAACGCATTAAGGCTGGCATCTGTGGCTCTCCGGAACTCGCAGTTTGTTTCCAAATGGATTTGATGATTCTGACTACTGAACTCAGTCGAATATTGAGTAGTGGTAATTCAAAAATAGCCACATCTGACAATCTCCCTGCCATCATTCCGACATCCTGCCTCGGACACAGGGGAGAGACCGAAAGTTCGCGGGCTCATTTTCTCCCTTAGAAAGAAGCCGAATCCTCAGAAGATTGGGGCCGACGTCATTTACATATGTATGTACCGTAGTAATCCGGAGATTCCGAGCTCTCGCAATGATTTCCAGACAATGGGGCGAGTTATTCGACATATGACTCCAGGTGATGATTGATCCTTCTCGGATCCCGCGCGGGACCGTCTCCGCTGACTGGACCGTCATCGTCGCAGACCCGAGGAGATGAGACCTCGCCGGGCGTCGATCCGACGTGGACTTATATGAGTGCATACTTCTGCGGCCGCCACCGTATTTCCCGATTCCGATTGGAGATTCTCTTCAGCCTGAGAGCAGACTTCCATAGAAGGAGCTTTGCGATTTCGAAAGATTCGGACCCACAGGAACGAGGCGGAATGGTAATAATGACCTCGGCGACACCTCTGTCTCGTTCTGTCATGATTCTGCTGATGTCCGGAGTGTTGGACTCAGGATGAGGTCGTTCTTCAGAGTCAGGTAAGATTGGTGGAATCGTCAAATTATATTGAATGTGTTTCTTGCTTTCCGCGGCGTTCCGACGAAAAGGCCCCCTGGAACAAAATGCCCCGAATACTTTCCGTTAGGTCGTCAGCGGTGCCCCTCCCAGCGAGCAGTCTGACAGAGCCGAAGTCGAGGCAGCGAGCGATCTCCCCGAGACCGATTCTATCTCACATACCAAGCGTCATTGAAACTTGCAGAGCAGGAAGTAGCGCCTTCCAACTCGTTGGGCTTCAAGTCAGGAGGAGCGACTATCGAGGCTCCTTTCCGGAGTGCTCGTATCAGCGACGGCGGCACTATGAAGCTCTTCAATCTAACCCACAGGTCGAATCCTTCTTTTGATTCTTCCCATATAATGGTCAGGAATAAGTCTGAACATGGCCGAACTCAATCATTCCATCAGAGTCCCGCGCTGAAACCACTGGCGCGAGGATAACAAGGTCAAGGGAACTGCTGGGAGCGATTGCAGGGTTCGCTGCCCCGGCCGCTGATGCGAACTATTGATTTCGAAGGTCTCCCCCAAGCCTGAGGGCTGACATCAGAAGGAATCGCGGAATTTCATTACGGCCATCACACAGAGTCGATGACCTCCGGGTTCTCTCGGAAACCTTCTCAGAGGAGTCTTTGCATATCGTCGCTCGTAATCGTTGATCGCAGAAGATCATACGTTCCGGTTCACAAATTATTGGTGTTTCCGGTCAGTTCAGAACGTACCCGGAACCCGCCGCTCTCTCATCCTATATTACTCCGGAGAGTACTGAAATGATAATTGTTCGCAAATCGGTCTTCTCTGGAGCGAATTAGACTCGGGTGCTCAAACTCTCGCGAAATTCATGAAAGATCGCTGCGCGACCCCCCACGAAGAGGGATTGCAAAGCCCCGCTTCTTGCATCGAGAAGCGTCGCGGGATGATCGTTCCGATGAAGGGATCCCGAATCTGAACCCTTCATCGGAACGCGCCAGTCGTCCGAACCCTCATCGTATGGAGCCGCATGCTCTTCTCTAAAGGCGTACGAACTCATTCCGTTGGAGCCTGTTCGGATGCTCGGCATGTGCTCCTGAATGGATACAATAGTTGTTTGTGCGAACTCTCCGATTCCATTCGAAGAAGTTTCCCGAACCTGCGACCACTACTCTGACGTCGTCACACAGACCTCGCGGGAGTAATTTTGCTACTCTTTGATGCATTTCGAAAAATATCGCGAAGCACTTGTCTATAGAAAGTAGAGTGTAGAGTGATATTCCCTGTGACGTTGATCCTAGGAAACTCACTTTCCTGCGGGAAATTCCCAGACTTTCCAGCGGAGCGACCGAGATCGTAAACTTGAGGCTTCCCGGAATTGATCTCATCATTCTGACTGAGTGGGTCGTTAATGCGCCCTGAACTTTATGGTAGAGTTCTTGGCAGAGCTCCTGTCATTTATGCGCGAACGTATTCCGGACGCGTACCGCCAGCGCTCACTCATGGATGGATCCGCGCCTCGTCCGGGGAATCTGGTGTTACGAAAGGTGCTCGCGAAATCCTCAGGAAGCCTAGAGAATGATGATAATCCGACCTCGATAGGAATGATTCTCCGACGGAGAATTTCAGCCTGACGCGAGGGTAACCCTCCCCGCGAAGCAGTGCACAAAGAGCTGCTTTGGCTCGGCTGCGTGTCCGCCGGATGTCGACTCCCTATCAATCCGTAGGTTCGACCCTTTGACATCGACTAATGATGAGCCATTAGTTATCGATTCTAGTACCTCATTTCAGTCAGTATCCCTCGCAAGCTTAAGATGAGAGGTCGCAACCTTCATCGTCGAGTACTAATTCCCCGGAGTTGATTGAAAACGTCCGCTCTGTCCTCGCACGCGAGGAATCCCTTGGAAAGTAGGAGGGATTCGCGACTCCGGGGTCAGCGTCAAGTCGAGCCGGTATACGAGTGGATTACTCATTTGGGACGCAGACGAGACACCTCTAGCGAACGCTAAAATCGACGGCATCGTGTATTGGATCCGAGAATTCTATGGAGTCGCGTCATTTTTCAAGGATCCTTCTATCGTCCTCGCAGAGGATTCCTAGCGGTGCCGGATAACCTCGTAACCTTCAGAAGGCTAGCCCTCGTCGGCAAATCATCCGCAGATTCGCTCCTCTGAAGTGCCCTCCCAGGCCGCGGAAGGCGGCGTTTCCAGCTTAGCCTTCTGGCGGCAAGCTTCGGAAGTCGGCGCGGATACCGGGGCAATCGTACGGACGAGAGACGGCTCGACTCCGCTAAGCCCTAGGCAACAGAACGATAAATCATCCCCGGGACCTACATGCACGGGTGCAGGAACATTCGGCTGTAGTTTTCTCTCCGCCCACCGGCAGCGAGCGAACAATCCGTCCTTTATGCACAATAAAAAGTTTTCTCATCAACAGA